AACCACAGCAAATTTACATTCGTTTATCACTCCCGAAACTGTACATGGTGAGGAGGCAACGCGAACCCAAGAGTCCCTCCAACACCAAGGTGGGAGGAGGGATATTTTGGTCACAGAGCCCCTCCCTAACCTGCCTTTTATCACCTTTCTCTATCTCCCCCTAATCATCTTCTAACTCCTTCGCAAACACCCTCCCTACGTGAACCAAGAACACCCAGTTTCATTAAAAAACGTTATTTAGATTTCACATTTACTACACATATTGCATTTACATCATTTTCTGACACGCTCACCAATGGCCAATGGTGATAGGCCATAAAAAGCTTCCCCCAAGTGATGTTTTATGATGTTAAATACACTCTCTAGTTAGTGGCTAGTGTTATTTATAGTTTTTATCAGTTTATCGATCGGCAAACAAAACAAAAACACACCTATAACATGTATTGTCGATGCACCATTGCGTGGACGTTATAACTAGAGGTATGTTCTCTTGTGTAAAAATACACAGGTGAGATTAATAAGAGCACGTAAGAGGCTGGGCAAGGCTGGCACATGTGTTAGCGACATATCAGTGTTAACACCTGTAGATTTGGAGCGCCTGAATTTGCCTAGCTTATAACACAGACGAGCAAGGGGTGACCTAACTGAGGTGTATAAGCATCTCAAGGGGCACTACTCGGTCGAGTGTCCTTACTTGGAGCTAGCGGACGCTCGCCCCACACGGGGTCACAGCTCAAGATTGAAGAAGCCGCAGGTCCAGAAAACTGTGAGGGCAAACTTTTTCGGAGTGAGCGTTGTGAACTCTTGGAACAATCTACCAGAAAGTGTTGTGACAGCACCGAGTATGAGCTCTTTCAAGACAAGACTTGACTTGACTTGACCAACACTGGAGCGGGTTCAGGTACATTCAGGAGCCGGTGCATGCCCAGTACTTGCCAACAGTGCGTAACAGAGACGTGACCGATCGCCCAAGTGGCTAACGAGCCGATCAGTGGTGAAGAGGATAAAACAAAACATGAACGTGGTGCAGCCAGCTAGTGCACAACCAAACAAGCGGCTAACGAGCCGATCAGTGGTGAAGAGGATAAAAGAAAAGGAAAAGTAAAACTTGGGATTTAATCCTGTTCTCGTGACACGCGCACACATACACAAAAGACGTGGGATAAACATGGTCCCCAGGAGGTACCAAACGTCACCTTATGTCCCTACTTAGGGCAGCACCGGATGTCTACCTCGGCTCATGTTCCCCTCCCCTCACTCTCCCTCATGCTGGGCTGCCCGTCCTCTTGACGTACAGACACAACTCCGCACACCCGCACATGAATTCAACAGAAGTGCATACTGTACTCATTACACTCAACATAAATAAACCAGATATTCCGTCACGTAGCTTACATTAACCGTAAGATCCACGGTGACGCCATCACCGCAAAACCTTTTCTTTGTTATTTGTCCAGAGGAAGTCGTCCACGTGGCCCCCGCCAGGTAAGGAACTCTAGGACCCCAAGTGGCCCCGGAATACCAGGAGTACCAAAATATCCTGCGGCGCCTCACCCGGGCGGAGGGCGTGACGTGGGAGGGGTGCACGACGGATTTAGAGGTCCTGTGCCTGGTGGTGCTATGAGGGGGCCGGATGGAGTCTGCTCCTCACCTACACTAACCACGACACACATCCAAGAACATCGCTTACCGTGCCTGGTGGTGCTATGAGGGGGCCGGATGGAGTCTGCTCCTCACCTACACTAACCACGACACACATCCAAGAACATCGCTTACCGAACATGGCGGATTGGTGGTAAATCCCATTATGTGAAGTATATGATTTGATGATATTAAAGTTTCATGATTACAAAAATGAGATCACAGTAATTACTCATAATTTTAAACTTCAAAAAGAGATCCTTAACACATCACAACGTCCCATGCTTGTAAGGCGGAAAATGTCAGTGAATAAAGGTAATCCTTAACCAAAAATTTTATATGGAAGAAATAAAAATAAGTTAGCGATATCGCAACCACACCTAGTTTGAGTATGGTTAGGTTTAGTCTTTGTTCTAAGAAAGAAACGACAACATTGCGGCAAAGAGGATAGGCTGGAAGAGTAGTGATAGGAGAGAAGATTTAAATGGACGACTTTAGATTCGGTCCTATCTAAACAGATACCGGAGTTTGAAGAAGTATACCCTAGATATGTGAGCAAACTCTTGTTACTCTAAAGTTATAAATAGACTACAGAGGAATGGGTGGCTTTTGCTCAGGAAAGCTGTTAAACCTGTACAGCGCATAAACCCCCCGAATACAAGTACTGTATAGTGACATCACTATCATATCGAATACGTTTATACTTTGACTTGCGGAACTCAGGTTTTGGTACGTAATGGTTGGGAGAGTATGAAAATTTGAAAGATACAATCCCAAAATCGGATTCTTAAAAATTTCCACAAAAATTTTTCTCCGTAATTTGGGAATAAAGAACACATCTACCGGTAGTCTTTTTGCGATATCAACGGGAAGTTAAAGACCAATTCATTTATTGTCGTAGCTACAGTAAACCATTGGCTGTGTTCTCACATCACCATGCTAGCTGGAATTTTAATATAAAAATCCGTGAATTAAACCCCAGGACTGCGCTTGCAAATTAAGAGACAACCCGAGTAATTTTCATATTGACTGTTGACGTCAGGAAGTCTCCCTCCGACTCAAAAGACGCGTCCACCTCACCACACCAGAGGGGTTTACTTACCAAATTTCATAAAGATAAGTCAAGGGTCTAGAGAGCCAACAAGGTTACGAGTTGTGGACGGAGAGACAGAGGAGAGTATTTAAATGTCGCATGGATAGAATTAAATGCAGACGGACGGAGGAAAGGACAGACAGCTGGACGACATGTATTTAACCAAATATGATAATAACTCTTGAGATGCCCTTGTCTATTTATTGTACATGTTGCTGACATACTGTACTTCCTCCCCACCCAACCACACCACCAGTAACTGGGCTAACCTCCCCTCGCAACAGCTGGTATTATATAGTTATTTCCGTACGGTGTCAACACACGCGATGACAGGCTATTTTAATGTCGACCAGGACGCCTTATGAATTAGACTATATCAGCCAACGAACACCAACTCTTATTTTAAAAACTTTTACGATTACTCTTGACGAAAAGATTACACATTAAATATTCAGCACAAATAATTACTGTGTACTACAACAAACTGATTTCATGAAGATATGACATATTGAGCACGTTCCGACAAAAATATTCTGAAAGAGCACGATAACAATTGTAAAATTTCACATCCCCGGTCACTAGTTCCAGGTGTGCGAATTAGTGCAGGGCAAAATCGCACCCGAGAAAATGTTAAACAATTTACCACTGAACATAACCGACCCAAGAGAATTTCACCAATCATTTGCTCACTGGATAAAATACCATCACATCATTAATAACAATCAAAATTCCACTATCACAACAAAGTTTCTTGAAGTCATGGGAAACTGTTAGGTAGTGAGGGGAGATTAGATTGGATTGGCTCGGTCAGAACACATAAGGTTACGTTAAAAATTGCTCTAAGTTGGGTTAAGTACGATAGAGGATAGGTTACGACAGGTTTAGGTCAGGCTAGGTTAAAAATATAATGAGCTGAGTTAGGTTAGATGCATTTTTTTCTTTCAGCTGCGTGAAATTTTACTTAGTTCTTACAAATTGTTGTCTAGAAACTTATTTGGTGATCTGCTATTAAACACCTTAACCACTGGTGCAGGTTGATACAGGCTAACATCTAGAGTGCCTCGACTACCTCGTTACTCTCGATCATTTATACATTGTGTTTGCACGGCCAGTACCTCCTACGCAAGTTTGGTGGCGATACTTCCGGATGCTATCGCTGCTTTCACGTATAACTGTCATTTTCTTTGTTAAGAATACAGAAACACCCAAAAATCATAAAATTTTCAACGATAATAATAGTAATTTCTTCTACTGCAATTACATACGCGTGTGGACTACAAACACAAAGTTACAAAAGTGTATATATATATATATATATATATATATATATATATATATATATATATATATATATATATCTTATATGTTTTCGTCTTTATTCAAGACATCTTCAGTTGCCTCTGAAGATGTCTTGAATAAAGACGAAAGCTAAGGTGCTCCGTTGTTTTCCGTTTCCCGTGTGATTTTATCAAGACTTATCTTATCCACGTTTTCATTGTGGATCTTTATGAAATATATATATATATATATTTATAATTTTTTATGTACAAGAGTTATGACATTACTACCAGCTGCTGATGCCAGGCTACTAGGTGGCACCACCCACACGTCAACAGGGTACGATCACATAACGAGGTTGTCAATAAAAGATTTCACAAACACACATATAGTACATTTATAGTTCTCGGTATCGTCATAATTTACGCGGAGGATCCTGTGAAGCCCCCCAAAGCTACTGGATTTTAGTATTCTTATAGGATAACAAAAGGAGTTTTCAGTTATTTACTCACTAAAATCTACGAACATTTTATTGACAATGTGACACACACACACACTGGCCGGGATACGTGAAGATTTTTCCTCTCATATCCTGTCAATATAGAGAAAACGAATAAGTGTGATATGGCACAGTATTACAGCCTAGCCAATGTTAAGAGACATTCCAGAGCATTGACCTTTACATTTTGAACATCTTAAGTAATACATCAGAGCATGTTGTATTGCACTACAGTAGAGCTCTATTGATTAAACCAGGTGTTCTTTCTGAAGTAGACTACACGTTATCTTATTTGGTTTACAAGAAGGATTTACGGTTGGTTTTAACGGAAACGCCCCTAGCAGAAAACCAAGTTTGGTAAAAAAAAAAAAAAAAAAAAAAAAGCTGGACTGTGTCGACGGGAAGGAACCGGGACCTGTGAGGTGGAGCGACGACGGAGAGGAGAGGAAGCCACACCAGCCAATCCGCTCCCTTAGTGCCAGCCAACACTCTCCTGCCAGTTTTAGCCCAGTGCCTCACCGTGCCACACGCGTTCCTCCACGCCCGCCCCCGGCACCCACCACCACCACCACACCATCTACCGGCACACCTCTCCACTGCATTCTCCAACAGAATCACCACCACCCTCAACCACAACCCTATTTAAATGCAACCTTAACAATTAAATTTAATGATTTAAGGTCAAGGAATATACACTAGAGAAAATATGCCTGGAACATCGAGAGAAGGAGCAGAAGCAGAAAGAGCAGCAGCAGGTAGTCTCCGCCTGTAGCCGCATCAGCAGGAAGCGGTCAGGATACCGCGCCTCGTGCCTGCTCTACCTCCACACTGCTGCTGTGGTTGTAGTGGTGGTGGTGGTGGTGGTGAACCGGGTGGTGAGTAAGGTTCTGTGAGGACACGCCTCACCAGGTGTTGTGTGGATACAACCCATCAGGTGGACACGATATACCAGGTGCTGTGAGGACACATCACACCAAATGCAGTGTAGATAGGTCACTCCAAGTATTGTGAGAACACGACTCACCAGGTGCAGTGACAAAGGTGAGTGACCGAAAGAGAGAAGTCAATACTGATTAACACAGTCTTGGGAAAGAGGAAATAAGAGGAAATGAGGGGGAAAGAGGAGGAAGGGAAGGAGGGGGAAAGAGGAAGAAAGGAATAAGGGGGAAAAAAGGAGGAATGGGATAAAGAGGAGGCAAAGACGAGGGAGCGAAGAAGGGGGAAAGAGGAGAGAGGGAAGGAGGGGAGGATTAACTGTTTATCACCACCAGAATAATGGCTTCAAAATTGATCTTGTTTAGAAATTATAAACCCAGAGAGAATGCTGGTTTAATCCTTTGTGGATGATCCTTAACAGTTAAAACAGCATCCACAAGGGGTTTAAGTTAAACTATCAAACTCAAAAGGCCAAATCATCATCCTCAGAGGATTGAATCATGGTCCCAAAGGGTTAAATCATCGTCCCCAAAGGGTTAGAACATCGTCCTCAAATAGTTAAACCATGGACCTCAAGAGTCAAATCATCGTCCCCAAAAGGGTTACATCATCATTATCAAAGGGTTAATCCTCAAAGGGTAAAATTATAATCACCAATATTAAAAATATAATATTCAAAGGGTTAAATTATAATCTTCAAAAGAGTTAAACCATTGTCTTCAAAAGGATTAGACCATCGTCCTCAAAAGGGTTAAACCAATGTCCTCAAAGGCGTTAAATCATTGTCCTTGTCCTCAAAGGGTTAAATCATCGTCCCCAAAAGCGTTAAATCATTGCCTTTGTCCTCAAAGGGTTAAACCATCATCCTCAAAGGGTTAAACCATCGTCATCAAAAGGGTTAAATAATTATTTCCATTTAACCATTATTACTAAGGCGTTTCATCACTCGACATAGTTATTCTCACTGTTAACTTCTTATAATTTATTTCATTCATCATAGTTCTCACCGTTCATCACCGCAGTAACTGTAGATGCGCAACAAGGATGACGTCAGTGAGACACCTTGCCGCGTTTGTGGTTTTCCTGGTGTCACTTCCCTCTTTTGTTGTCCTTCAGTGAACAAATGAACCTTATTAAAGAAAACTGACTCACTCACCGAGGTAAAATAATATGTGTGTGTGTGTGTGTGTGTGTGTGTGTGTGTGTGTGTGAAAGTGTGTGCGTGTGTGTGTGTGTGTGTATGAAAGTGTGTGTGTGTGCATTTAAAGATCACCAGTTACTTAAATACTTTAGGTGTAAAGTCTCTGTACTGAGGGGGTCAAATAATTATAACAAAGCGGTTGGCACTGTCATTATAACGAAGGGTGTTAAAGATTATAAAGCGAAAAGGTGTGGGAGGGAAGAAGGGAAGGGGGGAGGAAGAAGAAGAGAATGAGAGAAGTATGGATGCAGAGTGAAAAAGGGAAGAAAAGGTATAGGAAGAAAGGAAGGGAAGGATAGAGCTATGGAAGAAGAAAGAGAGGGAGGGTTTAGAGGGACGGAGGAAAAAGGAAGGGGGGAGGAAGAAAGGGGAGGATGAAGTCGACAGGAGGTACACAGGTGTGGGAGGTAACAGCTGCGTCATACAGGTGTCTCGAAGCCAGGGTGAGTCACACAAGTGATCAGAACACGTGTGCGGCTCCTGCTGGTGGTATACTGCTGTTATTGTTGTTACTATGAGGGTCGTGGGGTGTTGGGGTGACGGTGGGTTAATGGGGTGACGGTGGGTTAATGGGGTGACGGTGGAGTGTTGGGGTGACGGTGGGGCGTTGGTAGAATTGGGTGATAGAGTTGGGGTGATGGGTGTTGGTGGGGTGGGTGATGGGTTGGGAGTGATGGGGTGACGGTGGGGTGTTGGGGGTGCGGCAGGGGTGTTGGGGCTGACGGTGGGGTGTTGGGGTGACGGTGGGGTGTTGAGGTGACGGTGGGGTAATGGGGTGACGGTGGGGTGTTGGGGATGACGGTGGTGTTGAGGTGACGGTGGGGTGTTGGGGTGACAGTGGGGTGTTGGGGGGTGACGGTGGGGTGTTGAGGTGACGGTGGGGTGTTACGATTGGGGTGTTGGGGTGACGGTGGGGTGTTGGGATTGACGGTGGGGTGTTGGGGTGACGGTGGGGTGTTGGGGTGACGGTGGGGAGTGGAGGTGACAGAGGGTGACGGTGGGGGTGTTGGGGTGACGGTGGGGGTGTTGGGGTGACGGTGGGGTGATGGGGTGTTGGTGGGGTGTTGGGGGTGACGGTGGGTGTTGGGGGTGACGGTGGGGTGTTGGGGTGACGGTGGGGTATTGAGGGTGACGGTGGGGTGTTGAGGGAGTGACGGTGGGGGTGTTGAAATTGACGGTGGGGTGTTAGAATTGACGGTGGGGTGATAGAATTTGACGAATTGGGGTGTTGGGGTGACGGTGGGGGTGTTGGGGTGACGGTGGGGTGTTGGGGTGACGGTGGGGTGTTGGGGGAGTAACAGTGGGGGTGTTGGTGACGGTGGGGTGTTGAAGTGACGGTGGGGTGTTGGGGGTGACGGTGGGGTGTTTGATGGAGTTACGGTGAGATGGGGTGACGGTGGGGGTATTGGAGTGACGATGAGGTGGTGACGGTGGGGTGATGATGGGGTGACGGTGGGGTGTTGGGGTGACGGTGGGGTGTTGGGGTGACGGTGGGGTGTTGGGGTGACGGTGGGGTGTTGGGGGTAACGGTGGGGGTGTTGAGGTGACGGTGGGGTGTTGAAGTGACGGTGGGGTGTTGGGGGTGACGGTGGGGTGTTTGATGGAGTTACGGTGAGATGGGGTGACGGTGGGGGTATTGGAGTGACGATGAGGTGACACAGGATGAGCTAGGGAGGTCTTTATCTTTACTCTGGTGACGAAGGCGAGGAAGGAATCTGTCGTATCTTCACTCCTGTAATAGTGTCTGGATGATACTTTATTTTTCATGAGCACGTCTATTATTATTATTATTATTATTATTATTATTATTATTATTATTATTTATTTTATTTGTAATAATAATTATTATATTTATAAATTAATATTATAATTTATCATAATTATTATCAAATATTATTATTATTAGTACAGTAATAGTAGTAGTAGTAGCAGTAGTAATAGTAGTAGTAATGGACTAGTATGTCACTGAATCATATCAAACATTGTCGACCATTCGATTACTTCAACATTATGTATTGTATGTTTAACCCCACCACTAAATGCGTCCCAAACCATGAAAACACATCAAGGATTACGGGCTAAAGTACGCCCAGTGTGGGTACGAGACATTCCTGCACACACCACTGCACAGTGGAAATGGGTCCCGACTCCCATAGGCATGATTGTCCATTAGGGAAAGTGTGGATATAGCACACTGTATATTAAACCTTTGATAAGCCAGGAAGCAGCATGGCTGGTACTGCTATCAACCACCTTCACTTCCCCAAGATGTATCCTAGCCACCCATAAAGGTGATAAATCAAGTAGTGGAGGTCCCAGATCAACATGTCACATCCCTCGTCGCCATTGCTGACTTACTAAACAAGAAGATCAGCGTGAGAACTACTTCACTCCTCATCCACGTGTGAGGTTTTGTGGTGACAGCAGGTGTGTGACTCGTTCCTAAGTAAATCATACTTAAGGGAGGTTATCGCTCGTAATTTTCGGCGAATATTTGAAAAATTACGAAATATTTAGGAAATAGTCACCAGCTCTATGTAAGCTTCAAGAGTATTGTGGCAGAGTTTTAGTGATAAATTCTTACAAATAATCAAATTATGGCTCCTCCCCCCATGATATGTTGCACGGCGCACCATGTTGCGCGCGCACATACCAGAATTATTTGTAGAAATTTGTTTAAAAAACAAAGCAGGAATTCGATTTCATATGGCGCTCACTGGCATCTCACGTAAATTATCGTACATCAGCAAGGGAGACCAGGTGCCAGATCTATGGTATAGACTCTAAAATGTCAAGTGAATGCTCGGGAATGATGTCTAACAATTATCTGCAAATCCAGTAGAAATCGGACAGATTTTAAGGAGGGAAGAAATTTGGGCAACAAAAAAAAAACAACTTTGAAGAGCCTTATCTCGAAAACTAAAAACTGTACCGTTTCTCGAGATAACTCCAAAATTACTAGCTCAATTTTAATCAAATCTATGTCATTTTAAAGAGAAAAATGCAATTTTTTCATTAAAGTAGATTTTTTTATTTTATTTATTTTTAATAGATTACAGTACAAATATATTCGAGGCAAGGAAGAACATTTGGGAATATTTCCTCCATAAATTATAAGGAAAATCAAAATTCCACTTAAATGGATGTCTTAAGAATTATGTCAAAAGTATCTGGTAATTTTTTCAGCATAATCGGCCGAAGGATGTGGCTGTTATCTCAATATTTTTCTTCCGAATTTCATTTTAATAAAAAAAAATATATACCTTCGAATGGCATGAAACTTGGATATAATCATCTCAGTATACGGATACATAAAATATATTAAAATCAAGAATATCAATAAGGAAATACACAATTACCGGTATAGGGGTGCACAGACAGAGAGGCGGTCAAACTAATTGAATACAAAGTCACTGGAACAAATCCATTAAATCTAGCGCATAAGCTTAACCAAAGGTAACGCTACTAACGGACAGACAAGCAAACGACAGAACCAAAGCATAGTACTGTAGTGTATAGTATAATCCTCTCTTTGCCTAGTCATTGAAGGGGGATAAACAGGAGCCTATTACAGTCAAGAGGAGTGTACCGGTCGTCTCCATGTAACGAGTTCTGTGCTTACATACTTGTGATCATAAACGACTTACAATTATTTGACTTTTTACAAGGCTTGAATTTCTGTCTCAAAATACTAGCATTCAACTGGTTTTCGTGGCAGGGACATGGGGGAGGGGGATGTAAATGTTTACCAGTACACACACTCACAAATAACATACTGTATATGCAGGGTGTCTCATAGGTTGCTCACCGTAGGAAAATTAATGATCCTCCTTTTTCCGGCGAGGGAAACATGAGAAATCAATTTAGATGGCAGAGGAATTGACACTAGGGGAAATAATCAGTT